TGGTTTAAAATGCTTCCCCTGCTGTTTCCATTATTGCTCGTCTAGAGCAATTTGAGAAGCTTTTTTGTCTCCGGTTTTTGTGCTTTTCATCGAGGAATTCCATCCAGCCTATTTCGAACTAGGCGCGCTATTTCAAAGTGGTCGTGGAAAGTAGTGACCTGACGGACGTTCAGGCGTGTCACGAACAAGATGATCGGTCTATCCGCAGCCCGTCCTAGATTTCGATCTCCTTGCCGCAACCAAAAAGATGGCGAAGATAGACGAAAGGCATGTTATTTCGATCTTCAGGGCCCGACGATGTCACCGTGTGCCCCACAGCAAGGTGAAGCAGGTGCGGTGACTTGCGATGCATCTACCTCACTCTTTCCTCATCCCTCATTCGGGCCCAGTGTCGAGACATAGCCAAGAAGACTGGAGTCGTGGGGAGGGTGCAAGTAGATGGCGCGGTTGGGCCCGCACCTAGGCGTACCACCACACCTCCTGGTCCACACGACAAACACTTGACCAGGACTTTAACCGACAACAACAACAACAACAGTACCGCAACGGGTCAGAAGGACGAGGATGACTGAGCAGTCATGCTCACGACCCTCAAGTTCTGTTATCTTGCCAAGAGTAATCTTATTGATCTCCTTTTCATAGTACTAGGTTCGACACGCCTGACGGAAATAATTCAAATTTAGAGGCTTATGGAGATGACTGAATTAATCAGTATGCGAAGAAGGGCTATTGAGCTCTGTGAGTCATTTGCGCCTGGACAACAGACGGATGCATGGGAGGGGGAGTTGAGAGGGTCAGGTCAGTAGTGCGAAATTCATACTCGTGGTACTTCAACACATTTCTCACTATGAACAATCTGATGGGCATTTAAACTATTATGATGCACTAGAATCCGTGGTTTGGAAGGCTACCAGCTGGCGGGAAAACTCGTTTCTTTCAATCCGGAGAGTAAGGCTCTCTGGCCACCACCACCACCACCGCCACCACCGCCGCCGCCGCCGCCGCCACCACCACCACCACCACCACCAGCACCACCAGCACCAACACCAAAGGGACCACTACCAGCAATTTAAACACTGGGCCAATTCGTTCACACTACCACCCATCAACACTTTTCGGGCTCGCCGAACATTGCAGGTCAACTGCACAAGCAGTGCCTAGGTCTCACACAACACAACACCAGTCATGCACACCTTCTCTGTCCACACTGTCCCCAGGCATTCAACCACCCCTAGGCTTTAACCAGCTTGTGCGTATATACGCCGATAGGCATGCAAAAAACAAGCACACTTCCGTGAAACGTACACCCACTCGATCACAACATGACAGCACATGTCATTCGCGCATTAGCCACGCAATGCGATGTGCCAACGCCGCCATGACGTGTAGGACGACGTATATGAACGCGCAAACATCCAGTGCCTACGTTTCGGAAGCTGACAAGTGCACTGCACCAGTATACGGACGCTGACACCGCAGTAGGAGCTGCCTTATGTCATGCCATCAGCCGATAAGTGGCAGGTGTGTAGTATAGGAAAAAGGGAATGTGCAGTCGATCAAGCTTGTGTTCAGCGATTGGCGCCTCACTATACCCAACCAAAGGGGTTTCGATCCTCCCATGGCGCATTAGCAGTCGCTCTGTGCATGACTGCCAACGGAAGCTATCTACTACTTATAATCAGGACTGGCTATCAGGCTGCAATTGCTTCCTTTTCGCGTTGCTCTTGAGACCACCACACTCGCATGAGATCAGGGTCCTTCTCCGATTTGTGAAGCAGGTTGCAAACCTGCTTTTTGGTGTGAAGAATTCACGCTTAATTTCCGACTGTGCCGATCTAAATTGGCACTGGTAATCCTTGGCACTTGCTACGGTTGAGTTATCGGCTTTCTCCATTTTTTACTGTTTTTGTCCTTTCGAAAGAAATAGTAATGTAGTGAGGAATTTCCAAACGAAGCGAAGAGATGAGTCCCAGGAAGCAGTTTTGACGAAGGAGACGCGATCGCTGGGACAAGAGCTTTATTAGCCCGACGTTTCGGATTCCTGCCCGAATCCATCATCAGAGACGAAAAAGCTGATACGGGTGATTCACGCAGAAGGGGCTGCAATATTTATAGAATTCCGTCGCGATGCTGCCGCATACCTATGACCATTCACGGCTCCCCCCCCCCTCATCAAGGATCGTTGTACTTGGTGTGCTGACTGTTTGATGGACGACATTCGCGTCGTTAATTGCTGCAATTTCATCACGTGCGTTGAATGTTGGTGTGATGATCGCTCGGCCATCTGACGCACCGATCCTGGTGTTGGGACAAGTGTTCACATGTGCGCTCCCCGCATAGTTGTAGTAGGGGATGCCGAAAAAATCAGGGGGAACCGAGGTGGTGGTTTCTGACATACTGACCTTCATCAGTCGGCATACTCAGTCCTAACTCTGTATGACCTAATATTCCAACATGGATTCTTTGGTCATTGATCGTTAAATAGTCCAGCGTCCAACCGTAGAGTCGCGCGCTCAGTGTCTTGTCTGGAACACTAATCAGGCTTGAAAGTACGTCCGGGGACATGCTCGCCTCGATGCGTTCCGACTTTCAACTTATCCAGATCTGGGTTTGAACATGGCTGACTGATTGCAAGTCCCGGCTGTGCCGATCTTAACCGGCACTGGTGAACCCAGACGCTTGCTGCGCCTAAGCTATCAGCATTCTCGATGTTCCACTGCTCCCACTTCCTAGCGGAATACTGACAAAACAAGGAAGACTAGGATGATCATTTATGGTTTATTTCCCGTTATTAGCCAGTAATACTCAATCCCAAGTCTGGATGACCTGATATTCACCGTTACTGGTCCAGTGTTCTACGGGCTCATTGTCTTGTTTGCTGCCATCGGGAATATTTATCATTTTTGAAAGGACGTTTGCCGACCTGGTTAGGAGACATGCTCGTTACAGAGCGCACTGATTCCAAGGTTATGCAGACCTGGGTTTGGGTGTGGCTGACCAATGACGGCTGTGCTAGTCTCCGCCGTCTTTGTCGGTACTGGTCGCTATGCGACTGCCCATAAAGGCTCTTGTTTGAATCGACGCCTCAAAGAGACCTGCATGTCTCCTAGCCGGATAGGTGAACGCTCTCCCCCTGCATGCGCCGCGAAACGTGACTGATGGATCGTTATGACAGTCTGAACAGGTATATCTCGACAATAAATTCAGACATAACGTGTTTCACGTCTGGGGAGTTCGCACCGGAGTGGTATGACCTTGTGGTGACAGGTAATTTTCTTGTTTTAGTGGGCTAAAAACGCCGATGAACCTAGGCACAGCTACGAATCAAATAGAGCACAGGCTGCCTCCTCGTGGCTAGTTGTCATCTTCACATTTGACTGGCTTTATAACCTTTGGACATCAATCGCCCAATATAGGCTGGTTAGCGTTCTAAATTGGTGACCCCGACGTGCTCTAATAACAACTGCCAGAAGAGCATGAACCCGGTCATCACGGATTTCTCCTCTATATTTCATCCCAAAATTTTCCTGTTCTGCTTAATGTGACCACGATAGGAAGAATGCACTTTTCGACATCCCGTTTTGAAACGAGGTGGATGTCATCAGACAATCTCGGTCCATCGGGCCCTGGTCATGGTTCTGACCCAATCCAACAGAACAGTCTTTCCATCAGTGCCATCACCCAGACGCCCTTCTCAACATTCGATATCTTACCTCTTCTATGACCAACGGTATCTCCTCTCTCTAACCTAAAAACACCGTCACCGCGTACGAATCTGCCGTCGACGTTCAACTGAACCAATCAACCGTTAGCTTTCTCCAGTCGTCCCTGTTATCCTGGCTCTTTCCTGTCAACCACAGCCGGCCATGCTGCCGATTACACTACCGTTGGTACGTTCCGCCTCAAACTCCGTCCGTTTTTTCCCCGGACTCCGAGTTGAGAAGGCATCATCTGTGGAGGCTCCAGCGGCAACACTGCGTCTCTCGAGCGTACTTGTACGCATGTACCAGTGGCAGTCTGGTTTTTGGCCAATCACAGCTACCCAAACCGACCAATAAACCTCACGGCCGATGCAGACATGCTCTCGCTCAGGGCGTTTTGACGACTGCTCTCCTGGCGCCGCCGGACGTGTGCATTTGTTCGGCTGCCAACCTGCTCCAATCTATTCACCACTCCATTCAGTACAGAATAAAGTACTGGTGTACAACCCTTCCTCTCTTTCCATTCGGGACCGGGCTTCGAGGCCGTGGTGGCTAGAGTCTGAGTATGATTTAAGTTGCCGGAAAAACCTTAACGCAGTGACGCGCTGAACGAAGTTGCGTTACGCAGTTTTGATTGTCGGCGACAGCTCCGCATCAGACGTGGAACGAAGAGCATGGGTCGAACTGGCCGGACATAGTGCGTCAGCTTAAGGAGAAAATAAGCGTAATTGTGCAAATCGGAGGGTGCGCTGTGGTTATGTGGCCTGTACAGTGTGCACACGATGGCGCGTCTCCATCAGTGCATGCTGGCGCGTTACACCCTTGTACTACATAGGATTACGCGTTTCTTTAACCACCAAAACCGGAGATCAAGTATTCGACAGCGGATATCGAAGACTCTTTGAACGTGCCGCCAACAGACACTACGCGCACGGATCGGCCTCGTCAGACATCTCCAGACCCAAGATGATATCACCTCAACAACTCCCACCCCCCCCCCCTAATATTACGATGATCGTTACAACCACAACGATCACCATCACCAGTGAGAACACTCCGGTACCTGTCAGCTATTACTGCCACTGTCCTGTAGCGAGCAGCCATCATGACCGGTCTGGCGTCATTGTTCAAGGCCTCGCTGCCTCAAGGTCATCCACCCTTTTGTAGTGACCTGTTCCAGACACGCTGACCTGAAGTCGCACGGCCGACAACGCGGGCGTACCCGCGTCCGCACAGCCACAGCTGCCCATGTGGCCACTTTAACGCACCTCCCCCCCTACAACCGCAACCTAAGCCACTGGGACAACCCCACCCCCTCAGCAAATGCAACACACACTGACTGGCCACCACTTGATCTTGGCCCACGAGCCAAAAAAAGCGGCTGTCACCGCTATCTCAGAGATCCTCAGGCTTGTATGGACGCAGTCAACACTAGCCCTGGTTTCGCCAGTGACAACTGCCGCCTGAGCGGACAACCTTGGGTTTTGTATGCATTAAACCCCACATTCTGGTTCCTTCTGTCTTCTCTCTTCAACATAGGATTTGCTTTGATTATAGTAGCGCTCAGACCACACATTCACCCCGCTTGGATCACAACAGTCGCTACCACCAAAAAAGTGGATTCCGGTCAAAGGGATATGTGGGGCCAAAGGGCGGATGTGACACGTATTGCTTTCTCACCTCTGTCAGGTCCTAGCCGATCTCACGGTGGACTGGCACTTCTGAAGCGGTCGCCAGGTCACGTGTGTGGAATGCGTAAGCGGACTATCTAGATTTGCAATCGCCTACGCCCGTACCCACCTCCCGTCGCCTTGGCATTATCTTGTCATCAGGGCAACTTGAGTAGGGGAAGGAGATAGTGCGGTAGGTGCCACACAAGTCCACCTTGCCATAAACTTATTCGCACCCAATCTACTGGTGCTACGCCCAATTCATGCAGCAGTCGTGGACGTCGTTGCGTGCGACGGTCGAACTATCCTCGGCCGTATGCGTGTGTGGCGCATGTGGGGTGACGTACTTGAGTTAGTCTCCAATCGTACACCACTGGAATACCGGGAGACCGAGAAGCGAGGGCGTGCGACCAGCCCAGCGCCATATTCCTCCTATATGATCTACCTCACACAGGGATCACTATCTACCCAGGCAGTGTCTGTCTTCCTCGAGCCTACAATCAACAGACCACCGTTTATATGTGTGTGTGTTCGCCATCATTCTCGACGAGGAATGCAAGTAATTTCTGTTTTCTGTGATATGCTCTCTCGTGCTGCCTGTATTGTTTGCAATGAGACCCAGGAATCCTTCTCCCTCCCCCCGCTGCCTGTGCTGCATTCGCTGCTGAGCTTCCGTCTGTGTGTGCCAGAGGAGAGAGAAAGAGAATTCATTTTGTTCTTTGGCACGTGCTCGCCTTGGCACAAAGCCAGGCTACTTATGGTAACCAAAATATTAGGTTGAAGGAAACCACTGGTTACGACTTAACGTGTGACCTGTGAATATGGGAGCTCTAGGCTCAGAATATTGGTGCGTGAAAAATAGCGCTTTTGAAGAAAACTGTTTGCACGAATTCGCTCAGGAGTATATCTGGACTGCCATTTGTATATAAGGTCAGTTTTGACTGAGTTAAGACGCTGGCGCCGCAGTCTACCACAAACGTGGTCGTCTCAGTTACGATTCCCCGTCAGACGGACCCACTCGATAGTACCTCCCTCACTAGTTCTTAAGTGTTTTCCCCTAGCGACGCGCGTAATGAACAATGTTTGAGTCAGGGAGTCTTGACCGCCTAGTTGTCAGGCCTGTGTCGATCAAGTATTTGCCAAAGGATCATATTGGAGCAGGGAAAATCAAATGACCATCATACATTTTGCGTTGTCTGAAATTCGATCATTCTGCTCAAAAATGAGTCCAATAAGACCCTGAAGCAGAAATCAACCCATTTTCTTAATATCATACAGACCCGCTCTGATGCGAAAATTACAACTTGTCGGTGAGACATGAGAGTTCTTCCTACCATACCATACCGTAGGCCTCCAAAGTAGAAAGGGAAAGCGTCAGTTTTCTTTCCAATTTTGTGAACAGCTTGGAAATGAAATCAGGAGATCAAACTGCCACGACGGATATCCAGTTTTCTGGGAGCCTTTGAAATTCTAGCGTATTCGCACGGGGTCACACCGAAACGACTGATTAGAAATGTATTTATTAGACAAAATTCAGAAAAGCTGCAGGTAAAACACCTACAGAAGGGTTACACTTCTTCGATCTATTTGCTGAAGATGTCCTCCTAATTTCACTGCTTGACATTCAGCTCTCCATGCAGAATTGAGCTGGGTTCATTCTTTTCGCCTTTTGCATGCGACTCTCATCCCTGCGTTTGACAGCTTCTTATATATGAGCGCCATCCTTGCGCTTGCAGTGGATCAGGGCGTCTAGAGAGAACATCACCATGCCGGTAACTTTGAGGACTGTAATGTTATCAATGAATTGAAAGGTATCTCGGTAGCTGCGTGGTGCCGGCTGATGTTATATGGGCTTGAGTTTCTCTGCTAACCACTTAGCTATCACATGGTTCGGACAGTTCCGCATATCTAAAATCGGACGAACCGATAGGCCTTCCTCATGAATCTTAAGTAAACCATATCATCGAGGAATGCGTGTGCCGACTGGCCGGAGGTGTTCGAAGTCATGGTCACTTACGTGACCTTCTGTGTGGAGCCTTCTAAAACCGCAAGGGTTTGCATATCATTCTCTACTAATTCTATTTTACGCGCAGAAGGCAAGAATAGGCTGCCACCTCAGACCGCCTCGGTGTGTATCTACTCATTCACTTGCTCCTGTGGAGCAGGTGATATTGGTCCTACGGGTCGGCGCCTATCCAAAAGAATACGGGAGCATCTTCCCATATGGCTGGCAGAAGGTGAAACTAGGAGAATAGACAGCGCCATCCTTGCGCATGCAGTGGATCAGGGCATCGTGTGGACCCCGCTGAAGCATTTCGTGTGATTTATAAGGTCCCCTTGAGCTACCCTAAGCTACTGGGCCAGCGCCTGTTAGCAACAGCAGAAGCGACCGCCCTCAGGTTACGAAAACCGACCCTATGCGCCCAGAAGAACCTCATTCAGGCTCCGCGCTTACCGTGGTCAAAGGTTGACTAAGCACATACAACTTTCTGCGCCCTTATGCTCTTGCCTAGTCTGTATTTTAAAAACTAACTTTTATCGATTTTTTCACTCACTGTATCCCGTCCCATATAACTGTACTGGCCTAACGAGAAGTTATCGAAAGCAACGTTCGCTCGCCACTTTGTCTTCTGATATATGTTCAGTGAGGTACTTTACCTCGTGTTTTCAATATAGTACTGCGGAGATTGGGCCCAGCAAACGATATGGCGTGAGCCTTAGTCAGTCACGTGATAGACACGGCGAGTTCACGAGAATAGACGACACACAGGACCACAAGTGATGCTTTATTGGCCCCACGAAGCTAACTCACCTTTTCGTATGATTGTTTCATGAACGAGTCGTATGTGCAAACAACCTAAATTGATCATACATTGTCTGCATGTGGGTGTCAGTGAACCAGAAGTATGCTCCTTTTAGTGTTCATTTTCTTGTACACGCATATAGACAACTAGATCAGTGCGATTCTGGAATGTCCTGATACGGTGCAGGTAGGGAAAGTAAGCATAGCAAATGTTTTTTTAGGGCTCTCGGAACTGTTCGGGTTGGTTGTGTCCTCTCTCACCCCCTGTCTTCTTGACTATGTCTTGACGCCGGGCCCAGGGGAAGACAAGAGAGTGTGGTAGATGCTGCGCAAATCTACCCTAGCTGTAGACTAATTTGCGCGCGAGTCACCGTGCCTGATTCACCCTGTTGTAGAGTACACGGTGGACATCGTTGGCACGACAGCTGAACTTAAGCACTGGCTATCCAACCCCGCTGCGATGGATTCGCAGGTGTCCGGTCTACCCGAAGCGAGACAAAAACTGTACGAATGCAATGGCGACAGATGGGCACTGTGTGCTTTGTCGCCCTGCAGTACTTCTGCCAGGATGGAGATGACGATGGCGGACAGGAATGAGTCGGGAATGGCATATGGTATTGTGGTAGTGGCGGCGGCAGTGCCGTCCACGAACATTCACTCACCGCATGCATCCATTCGGCTACACGCGTATCCATGACAGCGCAATTCACCGAAGTTTCGACACGTCCTGAACACTTCGCATATCGGAGAACTCTCTCTCTCATTTCCCGCAGCGCATAATTCCCCCATAAACAATCTGACGCGCTCGAGACTATCACGGTGAACTAAAAGCCGTGATCTGGATAACTGCCAGCTGGCTATTTAAATCAGATCTCCCAGTCAGTCCAGTATGTGTTCGTATGGAGCGCCGACTGGTGGACTGAAAACCAGACTGCGATGAATCCCTCTTAACGTGGCCTTTATGACACTCGGGATCATTTGGGATCACAGCCGCCCTCCGTTCATTCGGTAGAAAATCACGTCTTCTTCCAATCTTATACTCGAAGGAAGGGTAATATTCGATTTTAAAAAACTTTTCCAATTCCTGAATACTCTTGAACCCGCTTTGCCGTTACACTTGCATTCAGAGTTTGCAAACTACAAGACGCATATTTTCCGCGTACGGAAAACCACACATTTCTCTACGGTAATAAAGGGGGACCATATAGGGTTCATAAAGTTTAGTAGTGATCCATATTGTTAAATTTACAAGCCACATTGGTAAATGCAGAGACGAGACGATTTATGAACGGCCATTTCACGATATTTAAAAGTCCCACAATCAGAAACTTTTTAAAAACCGAATTATGTTCCTCCTTCGAGTATAAAATCGAAAGAAAATGTAATTTTCTATTGGATGAGCGAAGGAATGAATATTTTTATTTATGTTTTCCATGAAATATAATTGGACTTTCAGGGGCATCGAAAATCAATGAAAAAAATGCCTGCCTCTTATATAGTCATTTTTTACAGAGTGTAGTTTTTGAATGCAGCTAGAAGGAAGTTCATTCGAAAACCGGCATCCTGAGATAACTGAAATATTATAGAATTATGTTGTAGGCTGACTAGCTTTACAACCCTATTTAATCAATCTTTTCGAAACGAAAACGCGTTTCGGAATTTCGGTTGATATTTCATGAGTTAGCCCCACCTACTGTACGTTGGTCGTCTTGACATTGCGGTAGATCTGAGGGCTTTCATGGGGCTCAATGCGGTCCTTGAATGCGCATTTAGCGTAAGGACACTTCTAGCACGGCGTGGTCGGCGACGCCGACGCTTCGCCTTGGCCTGTTCTGGTGAGGGCTGGTTTCTCACGTAGCTGCTCCCGTTTTGACGACATTTTGCCATTCCTCGCCGTGGGTGTTTTCGTTGTGCTCATTTGCCGTCCACACAACAGAGTTTTTGATCATGTTCGTTATTTCTAGACCGTCTGCTCCCAAGTTCCTAAACATTTTTTTCGGATGTCCTTAAAAGTGATTGTGGATTAGTTTTCGTGACTTTTACCTCCCGACCACGTCTAAAACCCCTCTTGAACGTAGCCATGACGACAACTCTGTAAGTCCCGCCCTGATTGGCAGACAACTGCTGAGTATTGATCTGCATGGTAATAATTTTTGCCGGTGGGTTCCTCGAACGTCACTGAAATGCTCGGCACAGGACTCCAGGATCTTATGAAATATGGGCTGATTGCTTTAATGAAAGCAAAAAGGCCCGAAACAGTTCTGCATTAATCTTCTCCCTCCCGCAGACTCTGTCGTCCCTCCTTGCTGCTATTATGACTTGGCCGACTTCGGCCTGGTAATTGGTTGCCTGTTCGTGACCTTTGCCACCCATACGGAGCTTGTTTGCTTCGTGAAGCCAATAGATCGGTGTGCGCCCATTCCCGATTGAATAAATACCCGATCTGCAGCGACAGAGAATAGCAGGTGACGAGGCACTGATGAACTTCGGTTCGATGAAGTGCTTATGACCCATCTGGTAGACCTCAGTGGTGGACCGACTGCGCCAGGTGCGTCTGTGCGCGTGTTTGTGTATCTGGTCCCAGCTGCTGGTGGTCAGGGTTATGATTGGCTGAATGAAGGCAGAATAAGCCCGAAACAGTACTGTATCAATCTACCCGCATTCTCTGTCGTCCTTCCTCGCTGCTATTATGACTTGGCCGACTTCGGCCGGGTAATTGGTTGCCTGTTCCTGACCTTTGCCACCCATACGGAACTTGTTTGCTTCGTGAAGCCAATAGATCGGTGTACGACTATTTCTAATTTGATATATATATGTGTGCCAAGTAAGCGTGTGAAGCCCACTGTTGTGATTGACAACTTGCTTGACCCCATTCTGTTCGTTGTCAGCTTGCTACCTGCGACAACGAACGTCTTGCCATAAGACGCATGACAGTTCGACTGCCGTGCCCGATGATGTCCACAGAGTGCTTCAGAGCAAGGTGAAGCAGGTATGGTGACTAGCTCGCGAAGTAGTTTGTAGTGAGAGCAGACTTGCACGGTATCCACCGCATTCTTTCCTTCTCCCTACCTGAGTTCGGTGTCAAAATATGGTCCAGAAGACCGAAGGCGTGGGAGGGAGCAGGTGGCTGGCACGGTTGGACCCGTGCCTGGGTGTACTACCACACCCCCCTGGTCCACAAAAACACTTGACCAAGATTTCTACCAACAATGGGTCAGAAATAGGAGGATGACTACCTGTTTACCCAGCGGGAGCGCAAGCGCATCTATCGGCAGGAAACCAGATACAAGAGCACGCCAGTTTGCTGGATAAAGACATAGCAGACACTCGTAAACCTTGAGGCCCCATAGGATAGATATCACATATAATGCGTAAGCAGCTCACTAAGAGTGAAACGGGCCAGACGCAGGCAGCTGTCTCACGGTCGTTACCGATCATCAGTACATAAGAGGTCTTATGAAGTGAGTAAGCGTGTGACCCTCACTGTTGTGGTTATGATCTTGCGCGATCCCATTCTGCCCGCCAGCAAGCGTGCTCCAGAATCAATAATCCTCCATCCTTCGAGTGAAGTACACCAACTTCGTCTCAAATGAGACAGTCCGCGCTCGCTGCGACAACATCGCAAGGATAACCCAGACCATTCAAGAAGGATGACTGAAGTGGTTCGGGTTTGTTCTTCGTCGTCCACCTCAGGAGCCCAGTGTTACTGCCCTCGATCCGGCACCGTTACCCTATTGGAGGCGCCTGAGAGAGGGTCAACTGAAATCTGGCTCGACACAGTTCGTCAAGACATGGAGGTGGTTCTTGGAGCTTCGGTATTCGGTCGCCGTCGTTGGCGAAGGTAATGGGTTGAGCTGTCCGGATCTGCTGCCGCGGATAGTCACGCGTGGAGAGGTACAGTTCGGGACATCATAGAGGCCGGTTAGATCAGGCATGATCGCAGTCGTATCAAGTAAAAGTAAGTACAAATATAAGTAAGGGGGTTATCAGGCGTAAGCGGAGGCGGGGAAATCGGAGACAGCACCGAAACAGGTGAATAAGTCTGATTTTTCGGGGCTGGCGAAAGAGGGTCGTTATAAGTCACCTTCAACCGATCGATTGTTGTCAATTCGGTGTGATCACAGCGGAATGCTTGTCCGTACGCGACAGGACTCGACAGAGTCCGTCGTTAGGCTGTTGTAGTGGTTTACGAACACTATCTACGCGGAAAATACAAAGAAACATAATCGCAAACTAGGGTCAATTTATGACTTACTTGCTGGAACTCGTTTAGGTAGAGGCCGGAGACTAGTCATTGCTTGGCGCAACCGTTGGACCTAATCGGTAGCATCCAGATTGACCGAGCTTTGGGATGGCCAGAAAAAATCTCCGGGAATCCGAAGGGTAGTCCCGTAAACAAGTTCGGCAGTGGAGCTCTCCAAGTTGGGTTTTAGGGCAGTGCTGATACCGACCATAACTAAAGGGGAGGTGCTCACTCCTGAGCCCCGAGAGGGGTTTTGAGTTGACAGTGGAAATGCTCAACTAGACCGTTTGGTAAGGGAGGGTAAGCTGTCCTGAGTATGCGAGAACATCTGGGAAGGTCAGCAAGGCCATGAAAAAGTCTAGATTCGAATTGCTGGCCTCGGTCGGTGGTGATATTTGTGGGGACACCAGAGCAGAAAAACCCAGTGTTCCAAAAAGGAACGAGCGACATTATCTGCAGCGATGTTTGGAATCGGAGTAGCATTGAGAAAGTAGTTGCAACCACGGGATTTGCCAAAGTACCCATGAGGTCTACGTGCACATTTACAAAACGTGCTCTGTGTCCGATTTTGGCTTTCTGGTAGGCCAAACACAATCGAGCCCACGATCGAGAGAGAGAGAGAAAGGGAGAGAGAGAGAGAGAGAGAGAGAGAGAGAGAGAGAGAGAGAGAGAGAGAGAAATTCGCTTTATTTCGAAATCATAAAATCAAAATTGTCAGCAAAAAAATTGACCCCATTCACTATGGGCGGTAAATAAGTTAATAAATTCTTCAAGAGTCAAAAATGTTTAACACAAAAGGAACGATTATCATGAGGACAATGTAAGTCTTAGCTTCTGCACTTCTGTCGCTTCGCACGTAAGGTAGCGCGCCAGGAATGGCGACACAGAAGCTCGAAAAGTCGATGTGCGACTAGATATAAGTCGAGAGCTGCGGCTCATCGGGCGGGAAGACTTCGCAGAAATTAGATCAGAATGCAAGGGATGGGCAACGTCATGTATAATCCGACCAGCAAATTTCTTGACCGCACTGACATGTTGTATGATAGTATCGACTAAAAAAGATAAGAAACACCAGCAGCAGAAGAGAGCATGCGGAGGACTCGTTTCAAAATTCAATGATCTTTTTTGAGCAAAGCGAGAAAAATGACAGGAGAGCAGTATAGGATAAGAGGAAGAATGCATGCGTCTATAAATCGGTAGACTAAGGATTGAGGTGTGTGGTAGGGACGTAAACGAGGAATGTAATAAAGGAGTTTATGAACTTTAGTAAAAAGGGACTCACTATGGAGGGCAAATGAAAAAAGATGATGACGAAGTAACGCCAAGGTACATGAAAGAGGATGCCTCGTTAAGAAGGATGTCATAGGATTCAGGACTAGGAGAGGGCCGCAGTGGGAAAATACACTGAACTCATTTTTGGCCGTTCATTAGGAGACCATTTTCCTCCGACCATACTAGGACATGGTTTAGGCAATCCTTTAGAGACTGGAGGTGTGTCTGACCTTTGAGAGGGTGTCCAACAACCACATCATCAGCATACTTAACCAAAAGACCGTCGTTAGGGGATCTTAAATCGTCGGTGTTAATTCTGGGCCGGACGAAATGGTCGCTGACGAGGCAGTGAGCAGTCCGGATGCCAGGAGGGTAGAGATTGTGTAACTCGGTGAAAACATCTCGTCGCATGTTGCATGGTACTACAGACCGAGAGAAGCCGCGAGACACGCCGCACAAGATTGTGCTGGAGGTGGTGAAGAGAGGGATGGTTTTAATCTGAAGGCTACTGTGCTCCATTTGCTCCGAAACATTCAGCTGCTGCTGCAGCTCAGCCGTGCGCTCCAAGTCGATGGAGGGTCGGGTAATGGCATTAATTCCAGGTTGAGATAAACAGTCGGCGACCTGATTAGAGGGTCCTTTATGAAGCCGAATATCCGTGGTATATTGAGAGATAAAATCAAGATGGCGGGCCTCACAGTGTGAATACTTGTCAGCGGGAGTGGAGAAGACATGAGTAAGCTGGTTATGGTTAGCGTAAGCACAAAAATCCCTGCCTTCGATAAAGTTACGAAAATTCTTAATATCGAGATAAATGGCAAGGATTTCGCTACCAAAAGTGCTATAACGAGTTTAGGGAGGTAGATTAGAAGGAGAGGGGTTGAGTGTACGTTTGGGTATGCTTCTGGAGGGCTGCATCCATGGCGTAATTGGAGGCGTCAGCAAGCGAGAAAGAGCAGCTGTATCTTCAAGGGTCTCTTTGACACGTTGGAGGCCGTCCATGGTGGAGTCAGGAATGAAAATTCGTGGTTGTTGTCCCGTAAAAGATCCGTGAGAGGTAACACGGACTGATGCAGTGAGGGGTGAAACGTCCGTAACATTTGGCAAAACCTATGAAACGGCGCGGTTGTCGCAGTGAACTCGCGAATAGCTGAAATTATGACGTCTATGACAACCCAAAGCATCTATGCGATGCCCTAGGAATATGAGCGAGTGAACGCCAAAAATGCACTTGGAGGCGTTGATGTTAATGCCAAACTGGTTCAGTCGCTCAGGACATAGACGTTGCTTGTGATGATTTTCACTGGAGCTTGCGACTAGAAGATCACCGACATAAACAAAAACGAAAGGTAAGTCGCGGAGGACTTCGGTTATGAAACATTGAAAAGTTTGGGCGGAATTACGGAATCCAAAAGACATGCCGATGAACTTGAAAAGACTGAATGGAGTCGTAATCTCCGGTTTTGGGATGGGGGAACAATGGGGATTTGGTGGAAGGCTTTTACCAGGTCAATGCTGGAAAATATTGCCGTACCGGCTAGGTTTGGAGATGGGGAAGTGGATATCTGCCAGGGACAGTGTAGTTGTTTAGTCATCGGAAATCACCGAGTGGGAGCCAGTCCTTGAGGGACTTTTCGCAAACCACATATGGAGGGGTAGCGTATGGACGAGTGGCGGGCCATACTATGCCAAACTCTATCATAGGTCTAAACTCAGCCTTGGCAAAAGCCAACGTGTCAGGCGTTAGACGGCGAGAACAGTTAAAAACGAGTGGTCCTATAGTCGAAATATAATGCATGACAGAATGTTTAGAAGGCTGGCCAAACTGTGAAGACCGGGTCATAGATGGAATTTCCGAAAGCAAACTATGATAGGGAGTGGACAAAGGGAGTTTTAAAATGCAGCGACTAGGGGATAAATCAGAATGGAAATAAATATGCACAGAAATGAAACAGAAGGCGCTATGAACAATAAGGAGACACCAATGTAATAAATAAACTGGTCTGTATTTGGTCTTACAGGATAAATATACACGGGTGTGTACGCGAGTAGAATTATAAGAAAAGAATTAACCACGGGAATGCAGCCTCTCGACAAACGGCTATGGAAAGTTGTGTCAAAGTCCTTTACAGGTCGTATTTTTGGCGCAATAAAACAAAACGCTTTGGTCGGATCTTATTTCGTAGCCGCACCTGCACTAGGCAAGCCCCAACCGCCTGTCACACAGGACCGGCGATAATAGGGGGCTTAACACTAACCCCAAACTCCAAGACCTAACCCCCGAACCTGACACCTAACCCTAACTCTAGCCCCTAACACTAACCCCTAGCCCTAACCCCTAACTCATAACCCTAACCCTAGGCCCTAATCCTAAATACAACCCCTAACACTAACCTCTAACACCAACCCCTAACAGGTGCGGCTACGAAATAAGATCTTACCAGTGCTTTTTCATGCCACTACAAAGCCAAGCACTCAGATCCTCCAGAAGTTCTCGGCTTTTCCTATTTGGGCAGGAACTAACAATGCGCATCTTATCCCAAACAAACTAGTGCCCGGTTTCTAGAGCACGAGCGGCGACTTTGGATAAGTGATCCCGCCTCTTCAGCGCCTATTGATGTTCGTGTTGGCGTGTAGAGGCTGATTCTTCAGTTTGACCACAAACCCGCCTCATTCACGAGAATGGCTGTCGTGAGTCTCTAAGGAAAGTTTTGATAGTGAACTGGCAGTACCAGGAGACAAAACTAGAGATTTGTTTTTCTCGGAAGCGCAGAGTCGCTGGGTGCGCGCACTCTCTATTGTGCCAGCGTTTTATTACCGAGGTGCACCCTTAATGATGTCCATCTGGGCGTTAACTTCACACGCAAACCGTTATAAATTACTGAGCAAAGGACTTACACGGGTGAGTTCCCCACATAGAAACCCTACAGCAATGTTCAGAGTTTGAATACGCAGGGCTGAACGAAAGTGCTTGGCTAAAAATGAATCAATGAGGATGCAAGTTTGCACCTCGCCAAAAAACGGTCGTTGCATGAGACGACTACGCAGGAGAAGTTTCGAAGCCCAAACATAAAAACCGCGTTGCCACATCGCACCCGCCGAGTTCACCTGCAGGGCGTCTGCCAAACAGCTGATCTGTTATTCATGGCTGTGGTTCCAACCAATCAGAATGAGGCTCGTCATCATGGTATTTTGGCACGCCAAACCTCCGGTGCTCGCGTGCACGTGTGAGCACGCGTGATGCGAGGCGCGCGTGACGCGAGGCGTGCTTATCGAACGATCTATTCACGTGACAATCACACTGGTGCTGGTGCGCCGCCTACGATGAATGGTGGAGTGGCTTGCGGCCAAGTGGATTGGCCTGACGCCACAGGAGCTAGGTTGTTCTCCGAGGTGCAAACACTGAGAAATTTAAAAGAAACTTGACTGGCAACCAGGAAGGAGGGATTTGTGACTGCGCATTGTATAATGAACCACTTTTTCGAAATTCGTTTGTTAATTGCTAGGCTGGAGGGCAAAAATGATGGCTGTTGTAACCAGTTGGTCAAATTTTGGAATTCACCACGCCCTCTTCGCAAGTGTTTCCACTTCTGGCCCCCGTGGACATTCCCCTTTCCCCTTTTGTAGCCCTCTTTCGAGCATGCTCGGTGTTCTTTTAATTAACTGGTTTTGTATTCTGACCTCGAGCTGGGAATTAAATTAGCTCAAACAGTCACAAAGAAATTCTTTGTCTAGGGTGTCCATTGTTGAAGTTTGTACGTTTTTTGTTATTACCTGTAGTCTACCAATAGTACTGTATATACACCGAACTCTGTTTTGGCCGATACACGTCACTCCGCCCGCAAAGAATTCTACAATAGCAATGCGGCGATTCCACTCCAATTTCCATCAGAAAAACAAGGCCGACACAACGAATGACCCACGTTAAAAGTGGGCTATTTTACAGAAAGGAAGCTAATTTAACACTATGTACTTAGCACTTGAAGGAACAGTCTTCAAAACTTCCGGCTGGCGACTTCAAGGTTAAAATGTATGGACAAAGAAGAAGAATAAGAAGAAGAATGGTCAAACACCAGCGCAGTCTGCTTATTATTCTGAGCTTTCGAACTCGTACAGGAGTCTGTCGTCGAAAGAAGTAGCAACAAAAGGGCGACCGACAGTTATAGGGGGTACTGGCCAGTACACGATCAATGATGTATGACTGGAGATGACTGCGCAGAGCTCTGTACGTCGGCGCCAGATCGATACATCGCTTGACTAAGTTCTTATCAGAGCCCCAATCGTCAGTCGATTCACAGCCTGTCTTTTTTCTGCATGTGCGATTGTCTTGATGGCTGCGAATTTAGACTCATGGTCCTTTTCGTAGGCGTGGGAACCCACTCGCGATAACTCGCCGCATCGCCGCACGGTCGGCTTATGTTCTTGTATGCGTGATCCGAGTATGCGCTCTGTCTGGCCTGCGTAGTTACAAGGACAGTTTTGGCACGGGATACGATACACTACTCCAGACTGCTCCTCAGGATGTACTCGGCCTTTAGTTTTCGTGACCTTACTATGCATGGTGGCTGTGGGCCAGCGTACAACTCCAATATCTAGTCCCGTGGCAATGCGCTCAGTCGCTTCTGAGACGTCCTTGATGTATGACAGAGAATGTCGTATCCTTGGCGGTGTTGCTGTCTGGGCCCTCTTAATTAAAATGTGGTTATATGCAGTCAAGAGTTAGTACGTCCTGGGAGGAGGTTTTGATGCACCTGATCTTCACCTAAATAAACTAGCGCAGAAACGGTGTGAAGGAACCGTTAACTTAAACCGTAGTTAAACTTAGTCTGATCAAAGATGGTCAAGAACTCACAGTAACTTGTTTGCAAGTTGTCACAAGAATGAGGTCAAAGACCACTTCTGCAAAAAAGCACATTTTCAAGTGGGTAGAACGCCCGACACTTCCTGTGTAGGAGTCACGGTACGAGTCAACTTTCCGGTCCAACGACTACTCTGTTGAGATAACAATGCCGGAATTTTTATATGCAGAAAACGGGCAATGGCACCTAATGCCACTACTAATACTTGGGGTAAGGTGCGTCGACTAGTCAAAGAAACTCGTCGAAACTCGATGCCCCGGTACGCGTGACGATTAGAAAATTCGAGTTACTTAAAGTATTTAACAGATTATAGAATAGGACTGAAAGTCGTTTTAGATATATGTTCAGACCAACAGGCGGCTTAAGTAGGCTTGCATTGCTCAAATACAAAAGTGCTAAATTCCCTATAATGAGAGTAAAAAGAGAAATGGTGGATGTAAGTTCCTAGGATCAATAAGTTTCATCAAAAAACGCTGAAACTGAGTTGATAAAACATAACCTTCTGGGGGGAATGATCTTTTCCCTTCGAATTTGTGTCTGTGCGTCCATGGTCTTGATCTATACCGTAAGAACTGGTCGCAGTATTCTTATTAAGGACTCAGATTGTTTAAACCCAAAAGACGTATACTCAGGTAAAAATTCACATCGTAAACCGGCTGAGCGCAAAAAGTCTTTTGGAGGGTGACCAGTCGTATTCTTTAATCTGTTAAATACTTTAAGTAGTCCGAATTTTTTAATGATCAGGTGTCCGGGGGTATCTTGTATCGACGAGTTTCCATAGTCACTAGACGACGCGGCTAACCCCATGTATTAGAAGTAGCAGTAGGTGCAGTTGTTCATTTTCTTCATGGCGATGACCGTCTTTCAAGTGCTAGCACTTGTTTACTCCAAATACACGCAGTTCCTTGTCGTTCGTATGAGAGCGAAAAAGAGAGATGACGTGTGGGGGAAATTTTATCTTTCTTGTTAAATTAAGGGTTCTGACAGAATAAACGAACTCATGTTTCGTGAAGTCGACTCACTGATGACTGGAAATCACGAGACCTGGCATTTCTTAACAAGGAAGCTGAAGTAGTGCCCCCATCCCGGGCGTTCGCGCTTTATCAGAGACCCGATGCTACTTAGAAGATTGTCCGTTGTCATACGAAAGTTTTTAAACAGACCTTTGCCGTACCAACCCTCCAGTGCCTACTTAAGAGAGGGCGTTAGATGGCTGTCGCCTGGGCGTTCTTGAGCTCCCACGCTGCTTGTTTTCACTTTCACACAAGGTCGTATTTACTCGAGTCAACAGTCACACGCACAAGCTATGGCAAAATGAAATCCCACGTCCTCTCCCCCCCCGCCCACTTAAGATTTGTTTTGCCAGTCCTATGGCGTGGGCGCATATGCGAGGGTTGCTTCGATTGTATGTAAAAAGGTGACCTTGGGTGGGTGAGGGGATGAGGGTTTGGAGGCTTTGTCAAAGCACTTAGCCCACGTGGAGAGACGATGCGCCGAGGTGCTGATCCCTTGTGGAAACAAGGTCGCTCTGGCACCTTTTGAGTCCTCCAGTGAGGCCTCGCAAACTCACGATTCTACCATCAAGCGAGAGTATCAAAAGTCGATAATCTGGAGGAGTATTCGTGCGACGAGTACACTCCATGCTGAAAAAGATCCTGACTGACCCTGCTAACAGTGCCCCAACAAATATACAGCCAGAAAACTACAGAAACTCCCAGAGATGGTTTTTAGCGGGAGAATGGATAATTGTGTACAATGACCACAAGGACTTTAGAGCGGCTATATATAGGGAGTATATATTAGTATATAGGAGCCAAAGACAGGGGTGACTAGGGTACCCGTTTCCGACTTATTAGCCGTCGCCAGCCATACACGCAGAAGTCCAGGCTTGGGCAACCTGAGATTCGAACCCGAGTTCTCTAATAACTTGGCATTTTAGAGCTCAAAGTTATATCACTAATAGCTGCCCTTTAGTTTAGATTTTGTTACAAATTCAGTTAGACCAGGGTTGGTTTGAACAGGTTAGGTCAGTGTTGGCTTCAGTTGAAGTAGAATAGAGAAAGTCAGACATCAATAGTGATGAGGATGTAAATCCCAGTTAGCATATCAGATGGAGGATGCAGCGGTGTTCTGAGACTATTCTAAAGTATTGCTGTTCTCAGATAGCCCCTGTTTTAATTCATCTTAGTAACTTATTTTCCATGGAGTCCATGATTCCTGACGCCTGGCTACAGTAAGAATCACTCCTATTCCTAAAAAATCGGCTAATTTTGGTCCTGAGTCTTTTCGTCCAATTGCCTGGACGAAGAGACGAGTCCCAGGAAGCAGTCTTGAAGGAGAAGACACGATCGCCGGGACAACAGCTTTATTAGCCTGACGTTTCGGATTTCTGACAAGAGGCGACAACCGCGCGAGCCGGGAGATGCTTGAGTCACGGTTTACTGGCCCCTAGTCTACTGACAAGTGCAATGATCTTCCCATTCAATACTCCGTGCTGAGACTTCGTCTAGGCGGATTAATTAGCCACGCGGGCAGCGCACAGTTGAACACTTCTCCCAACACCAGGGTCAGCGCGTCAGATGGCCGAGCAATCATCACACCAACATCCAACGCACGTGATGAAATTGCAGCAATTAACGACGCGAATGTCGGCCATCACGCCACGTGCAACGATCCCAGATGAAAGAGGGGGAGGGAAGGGAGCCGTGAATATTCATAGGTATGCGGTAGCATGGCTACTGCATCCTATAAATACTGCAGCCGCATATGCATGAACCACCCTTATCTGCTTTTGTCTCTGATGATGGATTCGGGCAGGAATCCGAAACGTCAGGTTAATAAAGTTCTTGTCCCGGCGATCGTGTCTTCTTCAAAATCTAAGCGTTCGTGATGTCCTGGGGGAGATGCTTTTTTCGTTTCAGGCCGTCTTGCAAAAATTACTGGACTGCTTCTCACTCTGTTACCGTCTGTGGGGCTTCGAGATGCAATGTCTAGCGGACTTCTGGACGTTCGTCTGCGTACTATAGGCCCTAATTCGCCAGCCATAAGGCTAATTGCCTCTAACGGATGACTCGTTTATGTAGGTTGGCTCCGCAGTAACATCTCGTGACCAAGTTATCGTCACATTGTTTTGCCTGCAGTGGCAATTAACCAGCAGCCCATAAAACGCTAATCTCGAACTGTGATCTGAATGATTAGCTCATACCGAGCAT